AGTTTTGCATATTTCTTAGTATTTTAAAATTGTTAATGCCATTTCGATAAAATACTCTAGTACCATTATCAAATGTTTTTAAAAATTTGACAGATACATGACTGAAATATGGATAAATTACATTATAAATACGAAATAATGTAAAATACAGTTTGCAATATCTTATTTATTGTTTTAAGGTACTTAATACAAAACTAATAAATAACTAAACATTCCTTGAAGCAAAATCGATTACTGCTTGCCTTAAATTTTCAGTAAAACTTTTTCTTGGGTTTTACATGTAATTTTTTTTAACATGGAAACAGTATTTTTAAATTCTTCAGTCTCTGTACAAACATGCTTCTTACATCTAGCGTATCCCCTAGAAAGGAAGAGCATATCAAAACTTTAGTTCGTTTGTCCGTCCTCTTCCCTTATTAATTTTTTGTGTCCTTTATATCTTGCCATTTTGCAGATAAAGCACATACATTCTTGGCTGCCGCGAAATTCTCTAGCAATTTCTAAATTTTGAAAATTTGGCAATTGTGGCTATGCAAAAATACCGTTTTTACCATATTGAAGTAGGGAATTTTGAATCACTTAATTTTGTCTCCACAGCCAGCACATACCTTCTTTCCGTTTTCTTCATGGCTTAACTTGAATTTCGGTTTAATTTTCATTTTAAAATACTATTTTTAACTTTATATTAAATAAACAACTAAAGCAAAATGTCACTTGCGTTATAACGTATAGCAATTTTTTTCATAACCACCTTAATTATTGTTTTACAAAATTTGCAAGTTGTAATTATTTCATAGACAAACTTCCAGTATTTTTTGTTATAAAAAATATTTAAGATATAAATCTTCGTTTTTTTTGTTATGTTTTGTTTTGAGTGGTAAAAATTAATAGGTGACTCAATAAATTAATACTGGGGAGTAAAGTAATTTAAATGATACACAGTTAATTATTATTTTGCTTAATTTTATTAAAATTGTACAGGTTGTTTGAGTACAATAATTGCAAAATAATATATAGAAATAGAAAAACAAAAAAGTTTGAAAAACTTTAAAATAGGATCAGCTGAAATTTTGATAAATACATGTTAGTGTTACCAAAAGGGTCTATAATCAAAATATACTATCAGTTTTGGTTTTGGCATTTTTGTTCGTCCTATACTTAAGTTTTGACCACCGTGTTCAGAGCACTTAATATATATATTAATAAAACATGGACATTAAAATTCAAAAGTAAGAACTTAGTCTGACATTTAACTTTTATGTAATAAAATCCAGTAAAAGGGACAAACAAACTTTTTACTATTAAATCTGTAGTGATTTTTTGCGAGCCGCGTAGGGTAAAACAAAAATTAAACTCCAATTATAGCGAGGAGTTCTACTTCCAGCGTCAAAAAAACATCTCTGCTGAAAACAGTGGCATACGTCGGAATCGCAAAGTTTCATGTTTGTTGTTACTTAAACTCCTTTGGAGCAGTTGGGAGAACTTCTCGCTAGAGTTTTTCCAACAGCTTATTTTCTTATCGGAAAAATTGCCGTATTATTTTTTGTTTGTTTTTCTCAAACGAGCTGCTGATTTAGTTTTAAGGCGATTGAAATAAATGTTGAACTTACTCGGTTCGGTTCACTGGAATGCCAACTTTTATGGCGCAAATAAAAAATAATTGGGATCATGAAACCCCATTCTTATAATAATTTATAATGTTTAAACAACATAAGTAATATTACAGGGTGAGTCATTGAACTTGAAACTTTGAAATATCCCAGTTAATATGCATTTTACGAAAAAATGTTTAAAATAAAAATTAAATGATTCGAGGGGGGAAATTAATCAGTACTAAAATTGGTCCTCATACTCTCCTCCTTATAGGGGGAACAGGGGGTAACTTTAAAATTTCCAATGGAACACCCTATTTTTTATTGCAGATTCGGATCATTCGACTAAAAATAGGTAGATTTTGTCTAAAACATTTTTTCATATTTGTAATGAAAAAAATCAATTTTGTTCGATTTTTCTTCTGTGTATTTTTTAAATTTATTTATTTATTTCGTTTTAATACTCTGCTAACACTGCTCTGCGATATTCCCGAATCTCTAGATAATTCTTGTATGCTGGCGTGAGGATTAGCGGCCGTTGCTGCTAATACAATAATTTCATTATTTCCACCTGTGACTGTTGCTCGACGAACTCTTTTTTTCGGTTAAACACTCCCGTTTGTAGTAAACAGCTTGACTGTACGGTGAAATGAAGTACGTGATCAAATTTTATCCGGAAAACGCTGAGCGTAGATATTAACAGCATCATCAAGATGCCTGCCTGCTTCTCCATAAATCAAAATCATTTCTATTTTTTCTTCCACTGTTAAAAAATCCATTATGAATAACTGCTTAACGAAAGGAGGTCTTTTTGTTAGCAAATTAATCTTCAAACTAAATTGATTAAATAATGCTAAACTATAAATAGTGTCTTTATACCAAAATAATACTTATTATTTATAACAAACTATAGTTAAATATATTTGCTAGTAAGCATGCATTTGGTGCTCCCATGGGCAGACCATCTGACATTTTGAAAAAGTTATTATCAAATTTGCAATATGTTTGTTCTGTGGTGTGTCGAATGATCGTTTTCAAGTTAGTTATATCTTCTGGATTTTTTATTTTATCTTCTATAGTTTTAAATATTATATTTAGAGTTTCTTCTTCTTTATAAATAAATTAGTACCGAAATTATTTCCCATACTAAAATTAGGTAGATTTTGTCTAAAAAATTTTTTTAATAGATAGCGCTGTAATGAAAAAAAAATTAATTTTGTTCGATTTTTCTTCTTATACTATAATTTTTTTATTAAAATATCACTTCTTTTGGTAATAATTATCTTATTAAATTAAATATGATTTAAAATGGTATACCATTTTTTTCTATACCTGAATAGGATTAAATTAATTAATTGACAAAATAATGTGTTTTTTACCTTAAATGAGGTATTTTTATTAGAAATAAAACAATAATCCTTTAAATTAAAGGATTTAATGCTGGCAGGTAAAAAGTGACTATGGTGCGCAATTGATAATTATCACTGAATGAAATAATGTATAAAACTTAAACCAAAGGAAACTTGAATATTAGTTAAAAAATCGTGGGTAATTAAAAAAATCATATTTAATTTAATAAGATAATTATTACCAAAAGAAGTGATATTTTAATAAAAAAAATTATAGTATAAGAAGAAAAATCGAACAAAATTGATATTTTTTTCATTACAGCGCTATCTATTAAAAAAATGTTTTAGACAAAATCTACCTAATTTTAGTATGGGAAATAATTTCGGTACTAAAATTTATTTAGAAAGAAGAAGAAACTCTAAATATAATATAGAAGATAAGATAAAAAATCCAGAAGATATAACTAACTTGAAAACGATAATTCGACACACCACAGAACAAACATATTGCAAATTTGATAATAACTTTTTCAAAATGTCAGATGGTCTGCCTATGGGAGCACCAAATGCATGCTTAGTAGCAAATATATTTATGGACCACATCGAAAACGAAATATTAAATGAAAAAAATAAACACACAAAACATATAAAATTATGGAAACGCTACATAGACGACATACTATGCATATGGACAGGTACAGACGAAGAACTAACTGAATTTCACAAATTTATTAACAATGAACACAACAAACTAAAATTTACAATAGAAAAAGAAAAGAAGAAACAAATAACCTTTTTAGATCTCATAATAACACGAAATAATACAGGATATAACTTCGGTATATATAGAAAACAGACCACAACCAGTGCCATCATTCCATACAAATCATATCATTGTAATCGACAAAAATACTCCGCTTTTCATAACTTTCTTCATAGACTTATTAAAATTCCTCTATCTAAACATGAATTCCAAAAGGAATATAATATAATCCAACAAATTGCTAGAGAAAATCAATTTGAAATTAACACAATTAAAAAAATAAAGAAACAGGAAAAATGGGAAAACATTATAAAATTAATAAATATGAACGAAAATAGAAAAATCTACCAATATAGAAAAATTACATATCAAGGACCTGTTACAGACTCATTAAATAAAATTCTAACAAAATATACTCTAAAAGCAGCCATAAAAACAAATAATACAACATATAACACACTTAAAAATATAAAACAACGAACAGACATATTGGAAAAAACGGAGTATACAAATTAACCTGTAACGATTGCAAAGCCGTATATATAGGACACATACGATCTTCGTAAATAATAATAATCACATTTCTAATTTTGGCAACCATTTAAAAGAAAAAGGACACCACTTTAACATAAAAACAAACACAACAATTATGCACATACAGGAAAAAAATCACAAACTAACACTTCTGGAAGCATATGAAATCTATGAGCAAAATAAAAACAAGGAAGTACAGTGCCTAAATGAACAAGTAAACCTATTTTACACACCTATATTTAAACACTTATAAATGACTTTACGTTGAAAGTACCTATAAACATTTAAAGAAAATACAACACCGCACTACACTAACAACAGATATCCCAACATAACCCTAATATTTCTAATCGTGTTTTCATTTATTTATAATTTATTTGTTCAGTCTAAAATCACTTTGATATTTGTTAACTAAATACATACAAATGTTTAATATTAATTTGTATATTTTATTTAAATGACGCGTAAGTATAATTTTTAGATCTTAATTATAATTCTGTTTTTAAAACTATATTTCTGTAGAAACCCTGAGAATTACTATAATAGTCGAAACTAGTCGGTTTTGAAAATAAAAAATTATACAAGCAGGGAAGTGCCTTATTCATTTAGAAGAATCTCCTTAATATATAAACTAATTTATTTATTTTACTTATATTTTCATTATTTTTATTTTAATTTTTTTTCGTAAAATGTTAATTTACTGGGATATTTTAAAATATTAAAATATTAAAAAATAGTTAAAAGAAGAAAAAAAGAACTTACATTGTGTTTCCAAATGACTTTGTATGGTCGTGGATGGGCATCTATTTTGCAGTAAAAGTAAACGTCATCGCCCTCTTCGATGTCGTTGGGATTCATGCCCCTTCCCATCGACAGTTTCAGGATGGGCGCATCTGAAACACACAAAAGGTTTCAATCCCATTTTCCAGATAATCTCGCACTTGTTTTCAGATAGGCATCCGCGGTCGGATTTCGCGCGACTGTTTTCCAAAATCATTCGCCCTTTTTCATACCAAGTGGATGTACCTTTACAATTCAAGTTTTTCGGGTATTTCGATGTTTTTACTTCTTTCGTATAATACAGGTTGATAAACATCGTCATAGATAGGTAAACTTTATACTTAACACACGAAGGGAAAAGTATAATGCTGATTACCATAATTATAAAACTCTTTACTATAATTTATATTACTATTTGGGACAACTATTTTAAATATAAAATATTTTAAAATCGAATATTTTTATATGTTAACAATTAAAAATTGTAACATATTTATTGCACTTTTTAATATACAAAAAGTTATGAGAAAGAATTGAACCTTCACCTCGCCAAAGTTTTTTGTTTTGAGTGCGTTCCATCAACTTCAAATACCGACTAGTACAGTCATCTTAGTCAAAAAAAGGGATCAACCTCGGAATCTAACGGAATAAGCTGAATTTTTGTGCAAACCTTTATTTTAGCATTACAAATGTTGTCTCAAAAGTCACATATGCCAACGTGTGAGCGGCCTTAGATATTCAAGGTCAAAGGTCGCAAAAATCAGTTTTTTAAGAATATCTCGTTTTCTCTGCCTCCTATCGTATTTGCATTAATTATAAAAGTTGTAGAAAATAAAATTCTCTACAAATTTTGTTTACAAAATTTTTTTATACGTCGAACCGTTTTTGAGATAGAGGGCGCAGAGTGTGGAGCGCTCAGCCATACGTACCTTTAGCGCAAGGTAAATCGTGAATCCCAATCTATTATACCGTTTTTTTAATTAATTATATAATAAATATTACTAAAATAAAAATTTAATACCTTATACTTATATTTATATTTCTTTTAAATCAAATATATTTTATCTTCATATATATCTTATATTTTAATTTAATTTTAATGAAGGATAATTGAATCGGAGTAGGAAAAAATGTTTTTATTTATATCAGTATTATTATTTTTATTAATCTTTATCTTCTTCATCCTCGTCTTCTTCAGGTTTGCCAGCAATTTCAGACTCATTCTCATCATTATAATGATACTCTCCTCGTTATCATTGACATTAATTGTCATATCTTCAAAAACTTACTTATAACGCATTTGTACTTTGCAGATTTGTTTGCCTTTGTTGCCTCATCTGCGACTTCACCACAAAATAAGCACAATATTTTAAAATCAAACACATCATTCCCTTTTTTACGAGGTACAGTTGAAGGTCCAGTCAGCGACGTACGACAATTTTCGACACTCAATATGAACGTTCACAGAATTCAAAGTATTTAGGTAGTTTATGTTTATTTCTCTCAATAATTGCTTCTTTTAAAGTCTTTATACCGCGCACAAAAGTCACAGAATTACCAGAAAGTAACTTATTACAAATAAAACACAAATCAGCCATGTTTACCTTTAAAACTTGCTTTAAAATTTAATATACGTATACCTAACCTTTTTATTTATAGCAAGCCCAATATAGAATTTCCAGGTCTGTTATTTTAAAAGCAACATCTGGATCCAATAGATGACCAGAGACATATTTAAGGCAAATTCATTTAATGTCTTTTCATCTTAAAATGCATTTATCATTAATTAGAATAACATTAGAATATATTTAGAATGATTCACTTCATTATTTAATTATTTGTATCTCAAAAGTAAGTAATATTTAATGACTATTTGTTTTAAAAAAATGTATAAAAATAAATATAAGGTATTAAATTGTTATTTAAGTAATATTTAATAAATAATTAATTAAAAAACGGTATAACAGATTGGGATTCATGATTTACCTTGCGCTAAAGGTACGTATGGCTGAGCGCTCCACACTCTGCGCCCTCTATCTCAAAAACGATTGGACATATAAAAAAATGTTTTAAACAAAATTTGTAGAGAAATTCTCTACAACTTGTATAATAAATGCGAATACGATAGGAGGCAGAGAAAAGGAGATATTCTCAAAAAAATGATTTTTGCGACCTTTGACCTTGAATATCTAAGGTCGCTCACACGTTGGCATATGTGACTTTTGAGACAACATTTGCAATGCTAAAATAAAGGTTTGTACAAAAATTTAGCTTATTCCGTTAGATTCCGAGGTGAAATGCCTATATGACTGGACTAGACAGACAGGTGTTTTGACCTATATTGGGTATCATCAGTGTCGACACGACACTGTCGAGCAACTTGTAGTAGTGGAACACACCCAAAACAAAGAAATACCTGAGCTTATATAACATGGTTGCTAGGCCAACAGAGGCGAGATGTAAGAACATCCGTGATCCACACCGTCTAACGACGCGTCGCGACGTGGCCTTTGCCGCAATCGGTACATACTATGCAACCAAGTAGGTTCAATTCTTTCTTATAAGTATTACCAGTAATGGGTTAAGAAAGTTTATAAAAGAAACTAAGAAAATTGAATGTTTAAAATGTCATGAGTTACCATATTGTATATTATATTTTAATATATTGTTTATTTACCGTAAACATAAAAAATATCTTTATTTTTACTATATTTTTTATTAATGTATAATATTATAATATTAGATGTACACCTTACATTTGATTAAATCATATAGTAAATATTACTATTTGTAAATAGTAAAATCAATTTACTATACGAACATATTAAAAATTAATATATATATTATACATTTATGATTTAGTAATATTGGTGTTGTAATATTTACTAAAATTGTATAATAAAAAATAGTATTTTGTATTACAATCTTAATATTGTATTGCCGAATATATAATATTGTTACCCAAAAAATTTACTATACATTTCTCTCCGTGTATACTATTACCAAAGACACGTTGTACTTACAATACACGGATATTTCCACACTGGATTCGACAGTTCCTGCTTTCACTAAAGGGTTGGTAGCCCTGCATGTAAGGGTCCTCTTGTGATCGGTTCTTCTGACGAAAAAAGTTAAGGTTGAGGTAGTGGAGTTTCCATCTTTGCTGTCCTATAAAATTAATAATATACTGTTAAAAAAATAAACAGTATTTGTAGTTTGTATATTATAGGCAACTTTTAAGTTTAAATAACTACAAATTTACCACTTAGTCAACTTTTTTACGGTTAACCAAAATGGTTTTTATAACGGATAGATACGAAAAATTACCAAATTTGGGTTTATTTCGTTATTTTACCTACATAATAACCTTTTTGTTCTACTAAGAGAATAACGTAATAAAAACAATATTAATACCACAAATTTATGTAAAAATAACCCTATAATTACTAACTGTTTGCTCTCTCTTTCTAAAACATTAACATTCGTAATTTCTTTGTTCTTGTAATTTATATTTTACAAAATGGTACTTACAAAGTAATAACGGCCACCCTATAGAGTAAAATTAAAAAATATAACTTAAATTGTCAAAACTAATAATATTTTGCATTAAAACTCAAACGCACATTATTTTATTGATAAAAATAGGCACGATACATCTTAAAAATTATATGCCCTCTACATATTTTACGGTTTTAAGAAAAATTATTGCTTGGGTAAAAATTCAACAAAACTTAAAACCTACAAAATTTTATAAAATCTTTTAAAAATCATTTAGTTTAAATCATTTTTTAATAACTAAAAGTTTCCTTATTATATTTTGGAAAAATATTTATGAAAAAATATTATATAAATGTTTAGATAAGTAATGGATGCCATCTTAAAAAACTCATTATGGCGACCCACAGTGTTTCAATTCTGGAAAATATCGGCAAAACCTCAAAAATTGACATTTTTTTTTCAAGTAAATTTTGAGTTTGATGGGTAGTTAATACCTGTCTCCATGTATTGAAAAGAAATGATGTAAAATACGTATATTTTGTCTTGTACATCAGTTTAAACTTGACGCTTTCAGTTGAAGGTACATTACACGCGATCGCTGCGGAAAATTGTTTATTGTTTAAAAGTGAATAACTTGTGTTTGGTATGTCCGATTGTTGTAAGGTTTGATGAAGGGTGATCTTCAAGGTATCTAAAATTCAGATATGTATTTGTTTTTCGTAGATTTTGCTTGTACAAAGTGTTATTGTAACCGACAAGATCGGTCTGTTAAAATCGCAAACTTTGAATCTAGCTTTTAGAACAATGGAGCTACAAAAATTGTAATAAATTGCAAGGCATCAGTTCAAGATCCGTTAAATAGCTTAGAGTTTTGTCTATGAAGCCATCAATAAATTATCTGCCCCAACTTGCCCCCGGCTCTATAAAACTACATGTTCTTGGGCGCTCAGGCACGGTTGTGGTAAAAAACCTTGCAATTATAAGCCTATGTCGAGCGCGTATCTAGATTTTTTTTAATTTATGGGTTGCGTTCATGACGTTTACTCGATTCACTCGGATTTAACTCAAAGCGTTTATTACAACAGCGCACTTGCGTAAATCGTTCGTGACTACTAAGATATTTAACACCGATTTTACATATTTAACCCACCTCTTGTAGGTGCGTTAAAACAACTCCGCATGCGCATTGTAGTGTGTTAATGTCAAATTTGAATTGTGGTTATTTGTGTTGACAATTTTTGTAGCGAATTAAAAAATCGTTGCTAAAATATTAAGTAAAATAAATAATACAAATTTAAAATACTTAGTAAAAAATCAGTTATATTTAAATTTTATAAATAAATTTTGAAAGTTTCTCGGGAGAAAAGAATGGAAGATGGCATCTTCCGACCCGTATATTTCTAGCTTCAGAAAAATTGCTAAGAAAAAGAGCAAATCTTTGTCCCGCGAAGCAATAAAACTGTTGCTATGTTCTGATGGTTTCCCATGCTCTGCTAATGATACAACGAGCGAATCCAGTGACGGAGATTGTTTAATATACATATATGTAGGTATTAAATAATATCATATAAATGTAATTATAATAAACTAAATTAAGCTATTTTCTAAAAAGATGTTTTATTACATTTTAAAAAGAACCTCTTACGGGTTTTTAATTAATTTCCACAATATTTGATGAAAATGTCCGCCATTTGAGGTCCACCATTTTGAATTTTGGAATTCTGAGTCCAGATTCATTATCAGCGACCACAAAAACCCCTGTGTGGCGATTTTCAATTAATTCCGTCAATTTTTTTAGAAATATGTCCGCCATTTTGGATCTACCATTTTGAATTTTGGAATTCTGATTCCAGATTCGTTATCAGCGACCCCAAAAACCTCTATATACGGATTATTAGGAGAATCCGACTACTCCTTGTTATTTTGCCGAAAAGTTCGAGAATTGAAATTTTCCCCTATAGATTTTTTTTTACTTTAAGCTTATTTTAAACTTTTGGGTCAATAATAGTATTTATTACCACTAATAACCTTAAAAAATACCAGGCGAATAGGAATTATTTATGATTACAAAGTGGTCTTAATATCGTAAAATTAATACTTTAAAGTGTTGAAACTTAAGGGTTATTAAAATAGGTAAAAATAACGTAAATAAAACTTATTAAATAACTTTCAAAAAAGTTTACTTAAAATTATGCTTTGATTTGGTTAAAATTAACAAATAGCTTTTTACTATTTCCTCTTTTGCCAAAATGTAAACTTGTATAAAGTTATCTATAAAATGCAATTTCCGAAAATTTTTTATAAACATTTTCAATAAAACATGCAATAAAGCCTTATAACCGTCAAGTTCAGATATAAAATTTAAAGCCTTTTTTACAAAAGGAAATACTTACGTGTTCTGTAAAGTTGTAATGCGGCGATTTCAAATCTTTTCCATCCAGCTGCCACGTAATTTTGGCGGGCGGCCGAGAGCCGAAAGTTTGACAAGGTATTTCATATTTTCGGTCGGCGGATAAAGGATGCGAAGGAGTGTGGTTTATAAGAATTTCGGCGGATAGCGGTCGAACTGAAAAACAAACAATTTTATACTTCAATCTTTTCCTCTTTAATTGCATAAAATCTCTTTTAATACAAATTTAACCCTTTTGTCAAAAAAAAGGTTTAAGTTTAAGTATAAAGACCCATTTAAAAAGTATTAAATAAATGTAGTTTATTTAAATAAATAGCTATGGTTAAAAATAGATTTTTCCTACTCCCAACTTTAAAAGTACATGTTTCCTTGACACTAAGTGACCTTTTAAATGACAAGTTGTGGCTTTGTGGCACGATAATAGTATATTATGTATCAGTTTATAAACGAGGTGCATACTATACTTTTTCTACGACAAATACTTATTATTATCTTAAAATGATTTAAATCTAAAATTTGCATAGAGCGCCATCTATGAAACAACAGGGGAAACTGTCAAATGTCATATTTTTACATTTTATAAACACAATTATAAAGGTTATAAATCGAAATGTATCTTGAAAATTGACAGTTTTTCACAGTGAAAGTAAAGGCAATGTTTTATGAGGACTTTACAGGAGAGTCCATGCCCGAATTTAAGTTATAGTTTACTGCCGGCGAAATTAAAAGGTCAGTACAATGTTCATATAAACTTTTCAAATATTGGCGTTGAGAAACTATTTAATACTTTTGTATTTTTGTATTGAGATAATAAAATAATTTTTACATTTTGTATTATTTTACAAAAAAGGTACTTTATTTTAACGATTGTATGACATTTGACAACTGTCAACTAATTTAAAACTAACTTCAGGCCGTGACTAAAGCGCCGTAAAGCCACAACTTGTCAATGTGTATTTAAAAGGTAACTTAGTGTCATGGAAACATGTACGATAAAGGTCGTTTTAAAGGTGGGAGTAGAAAAAAATTTTTTTTTAACATAATCATATTTTAATGTTTATTTTAAATATTACTTTATTTTTGCATCGATGTCGCTATATACAAATATATAATTTAAATAATTTTTTAGAGTACCTATTTGTATTTAATTAAGCACTCGCAAGCTAAATTAAATTTGTGACTAAAATATCGTTTATTAAACTTCATACATAATATACTATTATCTACTGCGATTGGGTTTTTCCGTTTATAATGATAAACATTAAAAATTCCCTTCCTAACATCGGGAATAATGAACTCATTAATCACTTTGTGATTGGCTGATTTCAGAATTCACTATGATTTAAACCAATCGGGTTTTAAATTGGGAAAGACGACTATAATAACATTTAAAATTGGTAAAAAGTGAGGTTAACCATTATTGATCGTGGACAGTTATCGGACACTATAGTTATTAGGCAAAAAAATGTAAATTTCTATTATTATTCAATATCATACTCTATTTATATCCCGGATATTTACGAGCCAATTCTTATGTGAAATTGTCCCCTCAATCAAAAAAGACCGTTAAAAACTATAAAAGTTAAGCATTTTTTAAGATATAGTCAATTGCATATTATATGTAAAATTAATTATATTTCAAAAACTGTTCTACTTTTATAACTTTTGACGACATTTTTGGATTCAGCGAATAATATTTCATAAGAATTGACTGCTAAATGTCCTGAATACAAATTGCTGTTGACGAGAATTATTGCTGCTTTTTCACTATGACATTTTTGACTAACTCATTTTTAGAGTGTAAGTAAAATAGTGATTTCTTCGTCACAGGACATCTTGCAGTATAACAGTGATTTAAATACAGTGCATGATAGAGAACATAAAAAACCAATGGCAACAAAATTAATAAATTCGGAAAATACTTTTAACATACCACCCGAAAAAATATTAGATATATATATAAATCATCATGTTCTGGCCTAAACATTATAAATGCTTTACAAACTAGAAATACCACACTTAATGATATTTGCAACAAACTATTTCAGAAGTCAGACCAAGGAATTAGTAGTTACCTTCAGAATCCAGAAAAGAAATGAGGAATCCGAAAAAGAAAAATATGAATTATATGATATTTACAATAAATAATACTCCTTATTCCAATAACTATGTGGTTTACCATATTACACTCAAAATTATGCGCATTATTCACTCGAATGATTTGAGTCTCTTATCTGGCGACCCGTATAATAATATACTATCTTCCTAATCCTCTCAAAATTTGACTTGGAATAAATTTAAAAAATATTTAAATGCAAAAATTTCTCTTTTTAACATTTGCTTCCCACCCTTTACCCTTTAAAAGGATTTCTTAATTTTGCTTGTACATATTAAGCCTATTATAGTTAATGTTATCGCATAAATTAATAAACAAATACACTATTAACATCAACACTGTAAATTTATTAATTAATTAAATAAATAAATATCCATTTAAACAATTTATTTGAATATACATAATGTATGCATTAATTTGTAACATACATATATATAATATTATATAATGGCTTTTAAAGCTAAAACTTAAACGAATAAACATAACAATAGAATTTTTTTTAATAAAGGCTACGACGCGACTCGACGTCACGACAGGGCATATGCTTGATTTCCGGTTGAGTTATTATGAAAATTCGTAAAGTACGCAAAAAAGCGAAAGATTTATACTAATTCCTGTTAATTCATTTTAGCAGAATGGAATTACTACTTAAGCTCTTCAGGCACAGCTTTTGTGAAGTGGCCGCATTGTCGAAATATGAATATTCATGAGGTGAACTTGTCTCATAACTCGCATATGAGTTATAACGTTCGAGCTGATAGATGCATTAAAAAATCTTCACTCTAAAACGAACATATTTGAGCTTTTAATAATACAAATTTTTAAACTTTTTTGAACACTTAAGTATAAAAATCTAAATTCAATTTTTTTTTCAAAATGTAATATGTAAAAAGTAGAAATCTTTCTTTACAACATACAGTGTGTCCAAAAAATATTAGTATATAGTAATAGTAGTATATTAGTATATTTTAAACAAATCTTCTCTCTGAGAATGAATTAGTCAAAAATGATTTAATTTAATAGTTATTATTGGTTGCTTTTTCAGTTGTACCATGGTTAACCAGGGAATACCATGGTAACCCAAATTTTAACAGCCAATTCTTATGTAAAATTATCCCCTGAATCCGAAAATGTCGTCAAAAGTTAAAAAAGTAGAACAGTTTTTGAGATATAGTCAATTTTCCATTTAATATGGAATTGACTATATCTCAAAAACTGCTCCACTTTCATAATTTTTGACGGTATTTTCGGATTCAGAGGACAATTTTACACTAATAACTATAGTCATTTTTACTAATTTATTTCAAGAGACTTAGTTTCAGTAAACCAGTTTTTCGTATGAACATTCGTACATTTCATAAAAACCATCATCTATAATCCCGCATCTATTAGATATGCCATATGCAGTAACCGCGATGCCCTGCAGGAATTGGGTCCTGATGCTAGCAGAATTTCATTTATCCTTCTATGCTTAAAATTATTTTCATTGTATGACACGGCCAAACATTGCAAGAGATTAATTGTTTTCGTGTTTTGTTTTGGGAGATAAAAAATATTATTTATAAAAATTATAATCATAATATATATGGGTGATTCTACAAAAGTTGGACAACTTGATATTACAAAAGATCCAGGTTTTTTTAACTTGTCCACCCAATTTTAATGTATTTTTCAAAAGCACGTTTGTAGAAAAACATAATAAATATTCAAAACATAGGTACCTTGGCGTGTCACAACTCCTGAATGAAATATTTGAGTGATTTTGTTTTAAAATATATTCAATTTATCTTAAATTTTTCAATTTCACTACAAACTATAAAACATTAAATAATGTATTTTTCATATTTTATCAAAGATTCGAATAATAGCAATTTTTAAAAAAATTATAATCTTTGTACTCACTTTTACCCGTCAGTTCTGTGTCCAATGTTAAAATTCAAGTCCTCGTTTTAACTCAAGTGTTGGTAAAAAATTACCTACAGAGCCCGCCCTTTGCACGACAGTCATCTTGAAAACAATGCAAGCGGCGAAGTTGTGCTGAATGCACGTATAGTTCCAGTCAAAATTTCAGTACTGTGGTGAGTAGTTATTTTCTTACGTATATACAGGGTGTTTCATAATATATGCGCAGGACTTCAGGATGTGATAGCTCATCCAAAAAGATGAAAAAAGTCGCTATTAACTTACCCTCTAAAATGCACAATTTTCGAGATACTGGGTGTTGAAATTTTAGAAAAAAAATCGTTTTTTTCGATTATCTCCGGAACCGTTTATCGTACAAAAAACAGCTTTTGTACGCATTTTCTACTCAAAATAAGCTATGTTTTGTGCCAGAAAAAAAATTTTTTTTACTCATAATTGGTGGAGATTTTGAAGGGGTAGCGGGTGTTTTTCTCCTCAACTTCTACGCCCCTGAAAAATGTACGGTTTTGAGAGGCCTATTCGAACCGCCAATGTTTTCTACACAATAAAGGTACTGGTCATAAGCTCTAAAAATGACAGTTTTCGAGAAAAATCAACTTTTATGTTTAAAAACATGGTCAATTTTTTGAAAAAAAAATTTTATTACTAATTAAACAAAATTTATTTTAAAGTTAGAAAAAGTAACAAAACCAAACAATAATTGCAAAATTAAAAAAAAAATAAAAAATGATTTTTTACTCAAATGCTGAAATGTGCGAAATGCGTTACCTTTACGGTTTGGAGAATTTAGCAAAGACAACTTTTGAATCATTTTTTATTTTGCAATTATGGTTTGGTTTTGTTACTTGTTCTAAGGTTAAAATAAATTTTGTTTAATTAGTAAAAAAAAATTTTTTTAAATTGACCATGTTTTTAAACATAAAAGTTGATTTTTCTCGAAAACGGTCAACTTTAGAGCTTATGACCAAGAGTACCTTTTTTGTGTAGAAAACATTGGCGGTTCGAATAGGCCTCTCAAAACCGTACATTTTTCAGGGGCGTAGAAGTTGAGGAGAAAAACACCCGCTACCCCTTCAAAATCTCCACCAATTATGAGTAAAAAATTTTTTTTTTCTGG